AAAGAGTGGTTGTGAAAAATAATTAAGATTTCAGATCCTAAAAATAATATATTACCTACACCAACTATTTCGTCTTCAAAATAAGTATTTATAAATCCGTAAGATTTGTACCATTTTTTTAGCTTCCAATTTTATAGTTGCTATTGAAAATTGATTTCAAAGGTGAGGCTTTACTTTCATAAAGCCTAGGCCTTATAGAAATTGCATCTTAACGCTAATAAATACTACGGGTGCTTGATTGCCAAGTACCATCACAGTGATAACCAAGTTGTAAAAGGTGTTCAGTTTAAGCTCCCTCAACGCAACCTTACCTTCACTATGCTTAGATCATTTTCATGACATCAAAATTATGACAGTAATGATTTTACTATTGAATTTGTAGATAATAGAAAGCTCCTTATTATTATCTTTAGATATAATATAAGTTACACTTCATAAGATGTTTGGAATAGCTTATAAGATAATCGAAGTGAACTTTTGTTTTATATATATTAGGGTATTGTATACTATGAGACTATTTATTTTTTGTACAAAAAGATCACAATCATTTTCAGCAACTAGATGTGAAATCCAATAGATGAAAGTATCACCATATTCGAGAAATTGTTTATTTTGGATATTGTGCCTAAACAATGGCACATCTTCAACCACCCGATTTTAAATTTAACTGTCAATGATGATTGTGACCTCTTTACCTCAAAAATAAACAATCTCATTGTATACAATTAGAAGTACTGTGAATCTATTTTACTTTTAGAGTTGTTATACTACTACTCCTTTAACAAGCTTTTTCTTCAAGGGAAAATTATTCTTAAGGCCGTGATTGATTCCAATTAATTGTATCTAGAATAAACTTCTTATATAGGACTACTACATTCTGGATCATATTATCTTGTTAGCCATATGTTTGTATCTTTTATTATGTGTAATAGAATTTAAGTATGGAAAAAATTTATACATGGTTGTAACTTTAAAATGTAGAATTAAAGATGCATTTCAAAAATCCATTGGAAATGTTATTTTAACGTTGAAAAACCCTATAATTAATCATTTCGACATCGAGATGTATGAATATGAAAAAAAAACGATTTCGAGTTCCATAAATAGTGCATCTTGCAACATATTATCTAGACCGTTCATTTTCAAGATTTTCATATGTTTATAGATCTACTTGATTTTAACCATTTTTGGAGTTTAAAACTTTATAATTAGATATGAAAATAGATTTTTAGATAATCATAATAATTTTTTTACACCAAATTTATATGTAAAGATAAAATTTGGAGGTACGCCTTCATTGGATTGTTTAAGGCTGCAACCTTATAGAAACCACACCCTTTAATTATTTAACATTCTTAGAGGGCTCTGGCTACTTTTAACTATTTTTGGCTAAAAATATGTTATTTTCTAACAACTTACTATGAATAAAGTAAAATTTCAAAAAGATTAGGGCCTGCTTAGATTTACTGATTATCACTAACGATTTACTATTTCAATCAGCTTAAACATGATAGTGAATTACATGCTATTTGGTAGTGTCTCGGGTAAGGTTATCTAAAATAAACTTCTAGGCAGTTTTATAAATGGAAAAACAAAACAAAAAGTACTTTTGATACTACATTATTAACCTTATTATTATTATTTTTTTAACCACCTTTTTAACTACAAAAGTTGACTTCTTTTTTGATCAAAATACCCTCTTGGGCACATTTCCCACTTTCTCGCTCATACCTTGTACAGAGCCGGTTCGGGCACTTGTTTTGTGTCGGATGGGCTTTATATTCAACTTGTACATGTCGTGCATTTTTATGTTGATTCGACTCTATGCCCAGCCTATATGGCACAAACCAGTCCGAGATATTTTTGTCTAAAAAATCTTTTTTATTTGGATGGTTGCAAAGAAAAATAATGTTGGAGTTAATAGTGTGATATAAAAAGTATTACGAAAAAGAAGTCTAGAACGTATAATTCGGGAGTATCTATGATTTTTCCTTAGAGATAAGTTCATCTTTTTAATGAGTTTTTACTTTTTTCACAATAATTTACTAAAAAACCCAAAAATATCTAACAAAAAAAAAGGTGGAACTCGCCTAAAAAATTTAAATAATTAAATAGTATTATAAATACTATCCAGGGCATATTAGTTTTAGATATGACAATCTATTCCAAATAAAATTAACGGCCACAAAGAGGCCCCAAATTTATACATAAAACTGTTTATAAATTTGTGTAACTTTTTACAAGAAAATATTATCTAGAGTATATTAGCTTAAGATAAGACAATCTATTTCAAATAATATTAGTTGGTATCCAAAAGGAGCCCCAAACTTATATCTAAATCTCCTTATGGGTTTATTTTAGATAGTTTTACAATGGACACTCTAAACAACAAAATAATTAATTACCAGGTTTAATTCTATTGAAATAGTGAATTATCAAATAACGAGTATTCCCAAACAGACCCTTAAATTGTGGATTTACATACCTGGTTTATGACATTTTAGTATTGAAAAACTTGTAAATTGATCATCTTAACCTCCATGGTCATGAAAATGGAAAATGGCATTCGAAGCACAAAAATAATCAGTCTTACAAAAAAACTATATCAAACTATCTATTTTAAGTATTCACAAATCTTTGATCTGCACTATTTTTGGAATTTCAAATTTAACTATTAAAGGCAAAAAAGATTTTCAATAGATTCTCAAACAACCACAAAGTTTTCAATTATATTTTTGAGGGGAGTTTTAAGGTGTGGCCGTACCAAAATTCGTGACCATAATTCTATCCTAGTCATCCCGCTTGACTAACTCTACACATATGATCTTGCAGCCATATTCATATTCAAGGTTTTTTACTTAAGGAACAAGTTTATATAAGGTTGCAACTTTAAAATATAGAATTAACGTGCACATAAAAAATCCAACATAAAATGTTGTTATGATGTTGAAAAACTCTCAAACTAATCATCTCAACATTGAGATGTGTGAATATGAAAAGGAAAAAAGATTTCGAGTCCTAAAAATAACGTATCTTTTAAGACATTATCTGAACCATAAGATTTTATAATTAAAGATAAAAATAGATTTTCAAGTCATCATAAGAATTTTTAACACCAAAATTATGTTTATGACAAAATTTGGAGGTGCGCCTTAATTTGATTGTTTAAAGTTGGAACCTTATATAAACCACAACTTTTACTTAAATATTTTTGGGACCCAAATGCATCTGCTCAGATTGATCCCATGGATAATTAACATCATAGCTACTCTTCTGTAGATATGGTAAGATCATAATAGAAGAACCTTGAATGGGATAATACATTGCAGTGAATTGATCACGGCCAATATCTTAGCCTCTATGCTCAGCTAGGATTCACAAGGAGTTTAGGGGGATTACTGAATCAATAAGCCAAATTTCATTGGAGCTAAAGCTCCTGAGAGAGGTAACCCTAGTGTAGCTGGTATCGGGGGTGATTATAAAAAACCATGAAATAACTTCTTCATCACTTTCTCTGGCTCAAATTATAGTTGTACAGCAAATGTTGCATAGCTTTGATTCTGGTTGCAGGGTCTTAGGGCTCTTCATAACATGTAGCCCAAGGTTGAGGCCATTCAAGCAATGAAGTAAGTCGGTATAAAAGTCAACTAAATGTTCCATGGTGTTTATCTTATGTAGTGGATCAAATGAAGGCATGCTTGGTTTCCCTCGAAAAAAAATTCTTGAACATTCCAAGGAGAAAGAGATGATCGAGGGTTGTTGGAAGACAGGGAGCATGAGTTTTGTAAGTGAGTGAGACAAATGGGGTAAACCAGGGTTGGCACTGAGTCGCCCTATCCGATAGGGGAATCGATCAACTTGTTCCAGTTCTGCATATATATACGAAAACGTTCGAGCCTAAAAGGAATCGGCGGTTCTGCACAGTAAACCGACGATCTCTACAGTAAAAAAGTGATATGTACTGCCAATTCACTGATCCGGACTGATTTTTGGCCAGTTCACTGTTTTTGCAAGTGTTTTTTTGCCAGTTCACTATTTTTTCAGAACAAAAAAACGGCAATCCGGACCGTCGATTCATCAATCCAGATTGGTTTTTAAGTCACGGGGTGAAATGGTTCAATTTTTTAAAATAAAATTTTAATCTATTTAATAAAAGAAAAAGTTTATATAAAGCCAAGGCTTTAATCAATCAAATTAAAGCACACCTCAAAATTTTCACTAGAAGAGGTTGTTTTGATGCCCAAATATCCTCCAATTGATCATTTTGACTTCAAGATGCACAGACATAAGAAAAAATGGATTTCAAGTTTCAAAAATAGTGCATTTTGTAACACATTTTTGGACCATCAATTTTCAAGATTTTCAAGTTTTCATAGATCTGCTCGATCTACACTATTTTTGAAGCTTCAAATTTTATAATTAAAAATGAAAATATATTTTAAAGCTATCATAAAGATTTTCGGTATTAAAACCATATTTCTCGATGCCATTCAAAGGAGCGCTTTACTTTGATTGTTTAGAGCCTTGGCTCCATACAAACTGCGCCCTTTAATAAAAGATATTTTTCTCAAAAATAGGTAAAATGCGTATGAGAGGAATTACTTAGTTTAACCATCAATGGTTAAAAATACTTGAAGAAACCTGATTTTTTGATAAAAATATCTTAAAAATTAATTTCAAGAAGCCACAAGGAACGCAGAGAAAAATTTCATAACTCGCAGTAGATAGACAAAGTGCATTATCTCTTTGTACTCACCTTGAAAAGGAAATGCTAATGCCTAGCGAAAATAAAAAAAGAAAGAAATATGCGTCTAACGGGGGGAATCATATGTTGACTATGGTAGTCTCGCGTGACCACTAGATCTCTTGCCTTCTTAAAAGGGAGTGGAAAATTCCAAACTGGAATTCAAAAGATCGGTCCAGATTGCATAGGAACCAACGTACTGACATCCAAGCCGTCCGTATTTCCCCTCACAGTATGCGGACCGTCCAACCAGGTCCTATCTCACACGTGTGAAGCACATGTAATGGTCCCAGCATACTCAATCCCCGATCGAGTCGTCTCTCCATTCTCTCGCCGATTCCATCCGTGATTCAGGAAATTATGAGTTGCAGACAACTCTGACAACAAAACCCTACACTGAATAAGCAAAGGAGAAAAACCCTAACAAAACCTTGACAAACCCAAGAAAGTAATCATCTAGATCTCATCAGCTGCGTTTTTCGATCTGCTATGGCGGACTGAACTTAACAAAAAGAATAGCAGGAGAAAAATATTAAGAAAACCCTAGAAAATTGACTCAGTTTCTCATCTGAGACCTTCGACACCGGCAATGGCGGATTCAAGTCAGCACAGAGAAACAAGGTGAAGAAAGCGTGACAAAATCCTAGCTTGCGCTGAAATTATCTCGAAAAGTTCGAGCTTTTCCCTGAAATTGAGCTGAACTGGCTTGGAAACTGTGAGATCCAGCTCTTGTCGTCTGGAATTGAACTGAACTTGCTGGAAAATCGAACAATCCTACTCTAGAAACCAAAATCGAGCCGAACTCATCAGAAAATGGATCCTTGGACCTCTCTCTGCCTTTAATTGCACTAAATTGGTCAGAGAATGGAGCGATCCCGTTCAAAAAGGCACTACTATGACCAGGACCATGAAACGTCTGGTCCACCCATCAATGGAAGCAGAAGACACAGGTATTAACCATAAATTTGCAAGAAAAAGAGGAAAGAATGGTTTACTAACGATAAATTTATAGAAGAAGTAAATACAATTATATTAACTATTTACCCCAAAAAACAATGGTCTTAACATAACTTTTGCAAAACAGGAAAAATAAGAAACAATGATACTAACCATAATTTGCAGAGAAAAAACAAGGAAAATTGTACTAGCCTTAAATTTGCAGAAAAACAAGAAACAATTTTAAAAGTCGCAATTGGTTTTTCTTTGTCTATGATTACAGGCACCATTACCACAGTAACCACCATGGCCATTATAGTCAAAGCAGGCCTCCCCCTCACCGCTTACCGAAATTCTCTCAATCTCAAGAACCCAACCTTCCAGTAACAACCTGCTTTCGCATCCTTTGCCCTGATTCTAAAACAGGGAGGGTAGTAGGAAAAAACGGGAGCATAATAAAAAAGGTTAGTCAAGAAACAGATGCATTGATCAATGTACAGTCACTTATTCAAGGAGATATAGAGCGTGTAATCGAGATCACTGACGTGCGTCGAAGGGACCCTGATGGTCATGTCCCTTCGTACTCCCCTGCGCAAGAGGCATTGCTTTTGATACATGACAGGATTCTTGATGATACACTAGAGGAGGAGGATGGTGATCAGAGGGAGCAGGTTCAACAATATGGGAGAGGAGGGAGAGTGGCTACAAGGCTTGTGGTGTTGCGAAATCATGTCGGGTGTATACTGGGGAGAGGGGGGAAGATTATAGAACAGATGAGGTTTGAGACCAGGACCCAGATTAGGATACTCCCTAGGGACCAGCACTTACCTCGGTGTGTCACTCCGGATGATGAGATTGTGCAGGTATGTGGTGCCAAGAGAGAATTCAATTATTTTATTTGATTTCTACATTAGTTGAACTATTTTTAGGTGAATACAAATGAGAAACTATGGTAAACTAGAATGTGTATGGAATTTATGATGCTGAACACTTCTAGATCAAGTTTTTTACGAAAGATATAAATGAGTGCAAAATAGACAATTGGAACGATGATGTAAGGAGTTTGGAGTCTATAATGTCGACCACTTACTATAGCTGCATTCACATTCAGCTCTTCTAGACTTTACATGCATAATCCTACTTGTCTGTCTAAATTTTCTTGCTCAGTAATTGGATAGTTTGTTATCATATTACAATTTGTGATCTTTGTTATCTTATTGTTGTTCTGTCTCATTTGTAATTTATTGAAACTACTGATTGTAGCAACTTACCAAGTTGGCCATTGAATAGAAACTTTCTAACTAGACTAATGAAATAAATCATGATTCTCTTCAATACCCATGAGTTTTGTTTTTGTTTCTCATAAGTATAAGGCACACGACATATGTCACATATATTAGAAGTATTGATCTCTTTAAGATATAACTCCATTCTTGTCAAACTTATAATGATTCTGTTCCACTTTTTTTTTTAGATTGTTGGTGAACCCAATGATGTGAAGAAAGCTCTAGAAATTATCTCTTCTCGCTTGAAAGAGAGCCCTTTCCGTGAAAGAGGTACCTTGTTTCATAATAGAGCGCATTCTCCGGAACGTTATTTTGCTCCTGATGATGACTTCTCACCCCAGATGAACAACATCCAACGGCAAACACCCATAGATGGGCCCCCATTGGGCATTAGATCATCTACAGGTGTGACCGGTGCAAGAAACAGCACCTATTCTACAAGGCCCTCTAGTCATGTGATGCTTGAATCTTTTGCATCTCCCACAGTTGATCGTCCACAGTCATTGGCAACAGAGGAGCTTTTGTTCCGTATACTTTGTCCAAGTGATAAGGTTGAAAGTATGATTGGAGAAGAGAATGGAATAATGGAAATGCTTCGAAGCGATGTTGGAGTGAGTATTAGAGTTACTGATGTTGTACCAGGATCAAATGAACGGATAATAATCATTTCTTCAGAAGAGGTATTTTTCACTTTCTAGTTCGTTCATTGATTGAGGAACCTAAAGCTAAGTAGTCCTCTGTCCTCCCACTATTTATTAGCATTATTATCATTGTCTTGGTTGATGTTCTATTCGCTTTGTCTTTTACTGCTTCTTATTCCATGCATGCTTGCAAGGTATTACTTTTGAGCTTTTGTGTTCTTATCCGAAGCTAGTAGTATGATGATTGTATGGCATCTCATTTAAATCATGTGGCATCTTTGCTTCATTGTGCTTTGGTATGACGCACATAAGCATCAAATGACCAATTTGCTTATATGAATAAATGGGTATGCTTAGTCATGTGTATGAGTAACTTGATATCTGCTGGTCAAACTGCTTAAGAGGCAATGTTTTCTATTAACTGTGTGACCTTGGTGTGTAGACTATCATGGCTCATTGATTGCTAGTCTTTGTGACTACTCGATGTTGATTGATACGGGACAATTCCTCATACCTTGTCCATCTGCGCTTTTGCCGGTCTTAAAGTTTCTATGGGTAACACATTACTGTTGTGGGCGGAAGCTCTAAACCCGATGGGTTGATTTTTGGCAAATAAAATACGAGAAATAAAGCATCAAACACATACCAAAAGAACACAAAGATTTACGTTGTTCACCCCAGAAAGGCTACACCCATGGGCACGACAAACTAAAATACACTATACTAATGAAAGTTATATCAAAGATTTTGGAACAAACCCCGACAAAAGATACAGTTGAGCAAACCCTTTTAAATCACTCTCCCTTCCTTCTCTTACTTCTGGCAACCATTACCGACAACACCAGATAGAAATGCAAGAGCAACGAGAAACTGACTTTCTCTCTAACTAAAAAGGGAAACAACCTAAAATCTCTATAGGAACCGCTTCTTTACAAGAAACAAGCCTCCAATCTTCAGGAGTCTAAAAGAGGTACCATTAATGTTTCTCTCCATAAGAAGCTCTCTTCTCTCTAAGAGGAAGCTTTGCATCTTATGCACAGGAAGCCCTGGCCCCCTCTCTCTCTAGAGGAAACCACCATTCCTATATGGTGACCCAAATAGGGCATACAAATTCTCTACACTTTCATCCCATATATATAAGATTAGAAGTTCACACTAAATAGGAAGCTTCCTATAGATATTACATATATCTAAAAAACCAAGAGATATATCTAAGAGTCCTAATCTTTTTGGATTTATATTTCTTTTAGGAAACTTATCAATATCAATCTCAATCCCACATAATATGGGAATATCTCAATCCAACATAATATGAGAATATCTCAATCCCACATAATATGGGATTTTCTAATGTAGGTGATTTTGGATAGCACCAAATCCAACAATTACTAGCATATCTGTGTCCATATTTTGTGATTGAAATTATGGTGGACCCAAGTGTAGTGAAATTGGGACAAGAGTCTGTATGTGTTTTGGATTTCATTTGCTTATTGAGGCCATGACTATGCAGACTTCATGACATTCGCATGGATTTGAAATTCTATACAATTGAGCAGAGATTGTCGTGACATTTTATTTGCCTTATAGATGTTGGGTGAATCATTTTTAAATTTCTCCAGACCATAAAAATGCAGATGTTCACATAAAATTGTGTGTAGATGTTTTGTTCTGATCATACATATTATGTTCAGAGAACTCACACATACAACTCACAATTCAATCAATATGATTAGTGAAAAAATGATTAAGTTTGTTATGCACTGGCAATACAAATTCTGTGTCACTGTGTCGAGAAATGAGCTGCCTCAAACTTTTTTGTTTTTGATTATGATAACTTCTCTGTGTTCTTTCTTTTCTTTTCTTGTCTTCTCTTCTGTGATTTGAATGATGAGCATTCAGAGCAGGCAAAGCAATCTTTAAGTTGTGTGGCGTAAGTTCCCATTTGCCTTTGTTACATCATATTTAGCTAAACATATCCGCTCTTGAGGTACATAAGGTATACCGATGACATCCATTGAAGACAACAAAGTTGAGATTTTTGCAAACATTGGAGCTCCTTTTTGAGACCATTTATTTTGTCGTCCGGGGTGGATCCTCAAGGATACGGACTGCTGAAGGCTCAACTGTATATATCGGAAATGTTGAATGTGCATGTTGAGAAAGACCCTATGGATGATGAATCTGCATCCTGACCTAGGTTCTCTTTTGAAATTTCATGAAAAATATTCTTCAAAGATCTACAAAAGGTAGCTGTGGGAACAGAATTTTAATCGTTTATAAATAGGTTGATTGAGTTCAAAGCTTTCACTCTATATTGTTGGTCATGTGACAGCCGGTAACTGTTGTTTCTTTTAATGGTCTCATATATGGTCTGCCGATATACATTGGTGCAGCTAAAAATATTCTTTATCTCATTCATGCCTATGCTAGAGCCCATCGTAGGGCAAATGTCCATTCTTATATAAGGTTTCTTACTTCAGCACGGTCACATTTTATGGTTTGTTTGTATCCACCATTGTATTATAGATATGATCTGTTTGTTTAATTAATGGCTATGTTCGATCCCTGGGAAATGTCTTTAAGCTTACTAGTTCAATATTTCATTATAACCTTTTTGTGACCTATCCACTAAAGCTTCAGGTTTTTGAAATTTGTGTTTACATCAGAATCCAGAAGATGACCTGATTCCAGCTCAGGAAGCCTTGCTGCATATTCAGAACCACATCATGGATCTTGGTCCTGATAAAGATAATGTTGTAACAACCAGGCTGCTTGTTCCAGTTGATAAAGTTGTATATTTAGAGGGAAGGGAGGGTCCGTCACTTCTAGAGTTGAAGAGGTTGACTCGAGCAAATATAGAGATTTTGCCAAGTGATGAACTTCCCCAATGTGCATTCGGTGCAGATGAGGTTGTTCAGGTTTGTGGTCCTCTGCCCAAGTTAAAGCAGTGAATATTTAATCACTGTACGAGTTAAGTAGAAGTAGGGGACTTGAGCCACTCGCTCTTTCTTTTTGCTAGCCAAGTTAACGGCTGGGTTTTGACTACGAAAAGTCTTTACAGATTGTTGGGGATATATGCACAGCTCGCAATGCACTGGTTCAGGTGACATCAAGGTTACGTGATGCATTATCTCGTGAAAGTTCCTTTTCTAGGATGCCATTACCACCGCTTTCTGGTCAAGGTCCTCTTGGGAATGTTGTAGGCCTTGAGCCAGAATCTCCTACTAGAAATAATTCAGGTCGTGAAGGGTACCAAGGAACTGGTCGCCTGGCGGCATGCTATCAGATTGCACAGAAGGCAAATGCTGCATGGTCATCAAAGGTGAGAATGGGGATCATCATAGAAGTTAGATATGAATCTTTCTTTCTGTTAGATATGTGGTTTTTGGGTTTTGGCTTGTCATTCAGGAAATGACAGCAGGATTTAGGCAACGTAACGTGCGCTTGATCTGTTTAGTACTAATGGGCTTTCTTTTGAAATTGGTTTCTTTGACTAAAATACTTTGGAACAATATGTAAAATGCTTTTTCTGCAGTTCCTTAGACAAATCTTGGCTTGAGCTCTCTATCCTTTGTTCCATGGGTAAAATCTAGTGATTTAAAAACTGGATCGGTGACCTGAATTGGGCATCCCAAAAATCAGTCCGAATCGGTGAATCGGCAGTCCGGATTGCCGTTTTACTCTACAGAAAAAACAGTGAACTGGCAAAAAAACACGTGAAAAAACAGTGAATTGGCCAAAAACCAGTACGGATCCGTGAATCGGCGGTCCGGATCACCATTTTACTGTAGAGAATCACCATTATATATATATATATATATATGTGTGTGTGTGTGTGTGTGTGCGTGCGCGTGCGACATAGAACCAGAAATGGGGTGACTGATTCCCTGGTCGGACTGGGCGATTCTGTGCTGACCCGGTGTTTTTTAATTCGCTGGTAAAATCCTATATAATATGACTGGACAAGGTTTCTCAACATCTCTTTCTTGTATAATTATTATGCCCTGATATGCTTCTTTGCTGGTGAAGCATATTAATAAGCTACCAATGTTACAATTTAATGAGGGTCATAACCCTGTGGCAATCCAGCATTGGCAATCCAACGTAATAAAAAAGATTAGAAATAAACAACTCCAAATTTTCTTTATTCAGGTAAGATATTATTTTTTTGAAGTAAGATTTGATGCTGTTCATTAATTTAATCACTCTCCTCCGAGTTTTCTCCAGGATCGACAATTTTGATCCTCGGTTATCTCTTTGTGGTGGCTAGCATGATGCCTCAAAGTGCTTAATGTTCTGGTTTCTTTTTGTGTAGAAGATAAAACTGGCCTGGACAGATATTTGTTCACAATATAACAAGTTCTGTTTTGCGCATTAGGACGCAGCATTATTTGGTAGCCGAACTCAGGAATACGAAGAGAGTGGTGGTCATGAAGAGGTGCTAAACCGGCTTGATAGGTGAGTTTTTCCTGTATGTGTCCTTTGTCCTCTCTGTAGTGGCCTCTCTTGTGGCTCCTTTCTATTACTGATTCATGGTCATCAGGTTTCCAAAAGCTCTCATCACTAGAACAACAGTGGAAGTTTTAATACCGGAGAATGCCATTGCTGCTCTCATTTCAAGATCAGGGAGCAAACTTGCTCAGATTAGTGAGGTGTTCTGCCTTCTGGTCTTCCTTTTTGTTAGGACTCAAATTTATGCTAAAATACATCTACTGCTAGAAGAAAAGGATGCCAGAATTCAATGTTGAATGATATACAGTGCTCCAAAGGAGCACCCATCCATTGCTGATGATGTACGATGGAGATGTACTTTACCTTGGTGAATGTCCACTGGGCCTACACCATCCTTAATCTCCAATATTAATTAATAGAAACAGACGCTGGATGCCTTTGGAGTATCTTTTATCATCTTCCTATGGATTGTGGTGTACCTTCTCTAAGAGAAAAGAATCATCTCTCTCATATTTATTGCTGATGCAGATTTCAGGAGCAAGTATTACTCTTCTTGATAGCACACCGGGGATGCCTGATAGGAAAGTAGAGATATCAGGTGCCCCAGAACAGGCCGAAAGAGCTCAGAGTCTTCTTCAAGGCTTTGTACTAAGCAGTAAGCTCACCATATCCATTCTCTCTAGTTATTAAACGACATAATCTTGTGTATGTTTAGCTTTGGGAAAGCATACTTTGGTCCAATGGACCGTGGCACCTGATATTCCTGGGCTCAATGCACATTCCATTACCATGATTGGTGGTTGGTGATATACTGTACCTTGGGGATAGTCGTTACGGGGATCAACCCTCAAGGATATAGTTCCGGCTCCCGAATCGAGCTCCCAAATTATGGATCTCAAACGGAGCTAGTTTTTTATTTTGAGGAAGCTCGATCCTTTTTCTAGGAATCTCAATCCCTTATTCGTAGGGATCGAGATCCCCTAATGAGGGACTTCGATCCTTCTATATATGGATATTGATCCGTATCATGTTCGGATCTTGATCCCCTGATTCAGGGATCTGGAATCCTATATATGTGAATAGCCATCCATGTCATGTAGTGATTCCAACATCAATAATTAAATATTCAGAGTGCTATATATAGATTGTGTACTATGGAGTGTTATACTAGAGTTGTAAAATGTATAAACCATATCAAGAATAAAATAGCTAAAACATTTAATACAATGGGATCTTGTTTCCATGAGCATGAGGAGCAATCCTTTATATTTATAGATTGAGGACCCCAATTTATATGGATCGCGGTCCCCGCATATTTGGGGTCGGAATCCCGTCAGAAGTGGGAAAGGCAGCCCATGCGAAATGGGATCTAGATTCCATGAGCGTTGGGACCGAGATCCTTTTTAAATGAGATCAAGCTCCAGGCTAGATACTTTAGTACAAATTGCATTCCCAGATTACTGAATCTTTTGTCCCATGTCGATCCAATTATCCCCATTCCCAATCTCGGAGCCATTCCCGCTCTGGTATTCAGTAACTATGGTCCTGTATGGGGCTGATAATGGGCTTGGGCTTGCCCCTGGTCTTTTTGACTGGGCCTCGTTTCAGGCTTTAGGCCATATAAGGAGGACATTCAGCTGGGCCTGGGACAGAGTTTGAAGGCCCAAATATTTTTGGGTCAAGCCAAGCCAGGCCAGGCCAGCCCTACCTTGACCACAGCTTGGCCCAAAATATGGTAAGTCAAAAATATTTTGTGTACTTTTTAACTATTATATATTATATTATGCTTATAGTTAGTGTAGTCTCTAGTACAGGTACACCAGTGCGGCCCATTCCTTTTTTTGAGTCAGGCCTCCATCATTTGGCTTCAAACTTGCCCAGTCTGAAACCAGAATTTAATCCAGTTAATAGTAAGCCATCCATTAGGGGGAACAAGTAGCATAGATACTGTACCATATACCATACTACACAGACTATGATTTTCTTTCCGTTTATCCGTTTCCACTATGTTTCGTTCTTCAGTGGTTACTACATGTTCTAAACTATCATGTTCGTGTTTGTTAACAGCACAAGAAGATGTTCCAGTAAGCTGATCCAATGAAACACCGTGTGAGTTCGTGTTACTTCAAGGGACATTCCGTCCTCACTTCATACTGAGGAGCAATTTACATGAGGAAAAGTTTTACTGCAATTGCAAAGGTGACTGTACAAGGAAGGTAGACAGTGGCCTTTCCATATTAACTTCATTTGCAAAAGTAAAAGGCTCTGTTCAATAGTGAATCTTCGTGTTCCTTTGCATCATGGTTTGATACCCAAACGCCAAATTCCCAATCTTTTTGATCCTAAATTCCCATCCACCATTCTTTAACCATATTGGGGATAATAGAGTGAGAAAACTTAGTAGAAGGGAGAAAAATGTGATTGTGCATGTGCATGTCAACTGGAAACCTGCCGAGACAAGAATCTTTATTACACTATTTAGTCCAAGAATTGCTTGTATACAAGCATTCATGGATGTGCTTGAATGGGCGTGCGTTCATATCCATACATGCACCCACAAATCTGATTTTCGATGGTTGCGTGACATCAATATTCATGACTAAGCTAGGTCATTTTTACACTGGTAGGCCAAAACAGATATGGTTGGAAGTAGTGAGAAAAGATATGAGGACTTATGGCCTCATTGCGAGTATTGCCTTTGATAGTGCAGAATGGTAGACAAAGATTCGTAGTTGGAAAAAAGCTTTGATGATGATGATAAAACGATTAAGCTTCACCAAGGTCCAAGTAGAAGTAAGGCTGCGAATGGGGCAGGCCTGACCCGTCGGGTCCAAGTTTATGGTTCATATCTTAATGGGGGTTGGGTCGACCCAGCGATCCGCCCTAGTTGGAGATTTCTATTCTTCGCAAGAAATTGGATGGAATTATGGGCACGTACAGCATATCAAGCAGGAGTACACTTATTACACTTAGTTCGTTGGTCAAAAGACCACTTAGGAGGATTTTTTTGATGAAAATCTGAGATCCCATTTAGAATAATTACGCGGGGTATTTTCATGGAGAGAATTGAATTTGAGTTCCTAAACACTTAATCTGGCTGTCAAAAAACTGGATGTCTAACAATTGGATGGACTTTGTTCAATATTAGGATCTTGTTTTTTCTCTGATATATGTTTGAAGGGCGTAAATGTGTGGAAAATACTTTTGTTAGCCCAATGCTAATGGACTGGTATTGGTCCAACAATTCATTGTCAGTCAATCCAAAAGGACCTAGTGACTAGGACTTTTTTGGATACTTAGCTCTTTAATACCTTGACCTAAAGTTTAGGGGTGTGTGCACCCCATCCACGCAATATATAATGGAAAAGTATATAAAATGACTTTTTATTTTTAGTACAAGGACGTTACAATTAATTTTGTATGTCTTTAATTAAATTTAAAATTCAAAAATAAATTTCTCGTACGTCGTCATACACCCCAAGTCATCTAGTTTGATATCTAAGGGCTAGGGGTGATTGTTCTTGTAATAATGGTAAATGGTCTTATAGCATATAATCCCTATATATATTGAAAAATTTAAAATGACAAAGGTACTCCCCTTATTTGTAACAATGGGGTATTTTGGTTACTTATTTTGTATCATAATTTATTTTGGTTGGCCTATTGAGATACATGTACCTCTAAATTTTATGGATTATAGAAAAGCTACTAAAAATTCAAACTCTGACTAACCGTCAATTTAACCCTCATTCAATTTGGGCTATTATTACCTTAACCCATTAGAAAAGGTTGATCCGTTGCTGAAAAACCGTCAAATTGACTATCTCAACCTTGAGATGATGGATATGAAAAAAAAAATGCATCTAATGCATTATTTGGACCATTTATTGTTGTTTTTATATCTACTTGATTTGAATCATTTTTTGAGCTTTAAAATTTATAACTAGTAGTGACAATAAATTTTCGTGATATCTTTGGCACTAATATTGCAACTTTTGGCATAATTTTGAGATGTTCCTTTTTTTAATATGATACCTTGTGCCAATCTTACCCCCCTATATATATATATATATATCAAAATTTCAAACATTTTTAGATAAGATTTTGCCTTGGGGGTAATGCTAGATATGCTCCTGCCAGAGCATTCAATCTTGTGGCATAATTTTTTTTGCATCTTACATTTTGGCATGAATTATTTCATGAGATTTGCCAAAGATTTCAAATCATGATATTGCCCTAACCTCCTATCCAAGTGTTATTGCCCGCACCTGCTAGCCATGTTGTTACGTGTAACACTGATGAAATACAGCCTAGTGTAGTGGCCTTCACCCAAAAAATTGGTCAAGTTTGACGAATTTTAGCCGGCCAAACTGTTTGGTTTGACTTATTTGACTTGCTAAAAAAATTTGAAAAATTAATCGAATATATTTTATATTTTATATTTTAAAACTATTAGACTTTGCTTATATATTATTCTAAAAATATGGTCCAAGCCTATCCAACTGGTTTTGATGAATCAAACCCCTTACCTATGGCTGGTCAGATCTTGAGCACTTTGATTATCATCACCACTAACTTTTAGGTATGAAATCCCACAGCTTGGGCAATCTCACTAAGGTCAAGAAAAAAGGATTTGGGATCTTAATGCCAGTCAAAAACATAATCCAACAATTCCACGTATAATAAACAAGGGTAATTGTGACCTTATTGTACTAAAGTCAAATAAGATTTCTTCATTAATTTATTTTAATAGTTTTTTTAAAAAAGTATATAAAGAGACTATTTACTTCTAGTACTTTTATCGGTCATATTTTAAATTGAGTGGTTATAAATTTGTTATTGACTAGACTCAAAGTTGAAATAATAATTTCTCAAATTTCATGATGCACCCCAAACTATCAAATTTGACATCTAATGACTAGAAATGATTGTGACCTTCTTATAAAAATGATAAATAATATCATAGTATATAATCCTATTTTAAAAATATGAATGATAAGGACATGTTCGATACTTCTATCTAAACTAGTGTTCACAAACTCCGCCGTTCCAACTTGGAATCGGGCACTGACTGAACCGATTTTGGCCGGTTTTGGTGGTCTGACCAAAAAATATCAAAATATAAGAGATTTGTTTGTAAAGTATTTTTGAATTTTTTTTATCATTTTGGAAAAGATTGGAAAGTGTTTTTTCTCCTTGAATACTTATTATTAATGTTTTCTATATTTTTTGAAAATTTTCGAAAACACCCATGGCACAAATCAATTTTTTAAAATTCATTTTTTTCACTACTTTTCATCTTCATTTGGATGTGCTTTGTTTAATCATACTTAAAATATATTTTTCATATTTTTTAAATTTATGTTGTATTTTTTATTTTTTAATACCTTTTGTACTGGTTGGGACTTGCCTGATTAGGCCAGTTGATCCGGCCGATTTACCGGTTAATTGAAACCAGCCCTTGACAAGTTTTCGAAACCGGTTCGATTTTTTGAACACTGATCTAAACTATGTTACTTGTTAGCTGGACACCACCCTAGAAAAGGTCTTTATAGAGTGGGACATGACCCAAAATGATAGGCCCTGCTTTCCTCTCAACCGTGACCATTCATGCAGTGGACAAACTTTAAATGTTTGAATCTTTGACCTTTCACTCAAATGGACACGTCTAGTGCTAAGCTGAAGAGGACCTAACACGAGAAATTCCATAAAATATTGCAAGTCTTTTCTCAGGGGCCCCCATGACCAATTCATTTGTCTTTGCTGAGGTTCCAAGAGTTCTTAAAATGCGATTTTTCAGCTCAAAAGATATTATACTCCCGCTCTTGTATAATGTTTATTTACTCCCTTGGTTAAAACCTCATCTACAATCAATTTCAGGATCCGAAATTTAGGGAATGTGACCTCTTCAACCCATAAATTAACCTCAAGAGTTTTTATAATAGCATCCTCTGTGTATTTGAAAAAGATAATGTTTCCTGCATGAGCATCGCACACGCGCTCTTCAATCAACTAGTGGTGAGTACTCTTCCCATACCTTCCTTGTGTCCACTTTGTGCGTGGATGATCAAATGGCCAAGTCTTTGCACATTGGTGTCCTACAAAAGAAGCATAATAATAAGATAAAAGTATACAATGAGATCATTTACCTTTAGTTATAACGTGGTCACAATTAATATTGACCATGAATGTAAAATTGGGTGATTGCATTTATTCCATTGACCAAGCTCAAAGTTCAAAAGAATTTTTTTCAAACTTTGATACACACTTTAGCTATCAGATATTACATTGGATGGTTATAAGTAATTGTAACCTCCTTGTACTAAAAGATGATTGGTCTCATTATATAAATTCCTAATAAAAAAATAAAAAAATTAATGTGATTGAGACAACAAGAATAGCCAGGATTGGATAATGGGTTTTTATTTTTATTTTTTGATTGTGTTTTCTAGAAGTTTATACAAGGTGTCAGCCTTATACTATTGAAGTAAGGCATACTTCAAAATCCTCTAGAAGAGCGTATTTTGATTTTGGGAAATCCTCCAACTAATAATCTCAATATTCTCAACCTAGAGATGCATGGATATAAAGAAAAAAAGAATTTCAAATTCTAAAAACAATGCATCTTTTAACAAGTTATTTCAACCATTTATTTTGAAGATTTTCAATTTTTATAGATCTGCTCGATCTCTACCATTTTTAAAACTTTAAATATTATAAATAGATAAAAAATATATATATTCATGCCATTATAAAGTTTCCGAGCACATCAAAACAAGGTATAAAGTATAAACCGGTTATTTAATCAGCTTAATCCGCAGCACTCAGGGTTTCACTCAAGAGTAAACTCTTATTCCCCAAGGTTTGATTGTTAGTCAAAGGCAATCACCAGTGTCATATTAGTTTGCCTGCTGTGCAACGCTGCAAGAGTCGCGTGCACTAGCTACCTTCATCTACCACTGCAAAATATCTACAAGGTTGTTGGAACACCTTTAACATCAAATTCCAAAATACCCAACTAATGGAAAACCCCCCCATATCAGACTCTCCCCCCTGAAAAAGTAAAAGAATTCTTTTAATGAGTAGGTAACATGATCCATGAGCATCTAAGATTAGGGAAGATAAGACATTTCTTGATTTAAAATTGATATGAAGAGTACATATGCCAGCCTGCGAAGTGAAAAGTGCACTTTTAAGAGTTTATGCGCTCATATGTGCCCGCATGGGCAGGCATTTCGCATGTTTTGCATAGGGTTTTTCTTTTCTTTATGACAAAATGTTAACAAATTTTATTACTAAAGGAAATTACATCCTACGACTGTTACATATCTAGCCATCAGGCCAATTGTCACAAAAACAATCGTTCCTAATTACAAATTCTACTAATACAAATCCTTGTTCCCCTAACAAATGGTTAGCCTACTAGCATTAACTCCCACGTTCGCTAAATCATCAGCAATGGAATTTTTTTTTCCGCATACATGAAGAAATTGGCTCACCATATCCAATGGTATACTCAATGACCACGGAGCTTTCATGTCACTTTAGATCCACTTTAAAACATTTAAAGAGTCACCTTCCACAATTACCTTCATATTAAATTCTTTAGCTGTCTTAGCTCCCTGAAGAGCAGACCTTAATTCTGCCTCATTTGGTGTTACAGTACCCACCGTGCCATGATATTTCTCAAGTATATTCCCATTATGATATCTAATAACCCCTCCAATCCCAGCCTGTCTCGGATTACCATGACCGCTCCCATCAAGATTTAAATTAATCCACCTTTTCCAAAGGAGTCTCCCACTCAACAATAATTCTCCTACCCATAGATCTTTCTTTGACTAACTCCATGACGCTATGCAATGGATCAGTTCCTGAACCACCCCACTACTCTCTTTCTAATGCTTCATGACCCCAAATAAAAGATCAAGATATGCACAGCGATTGGTACATTAGAGTAGCTATAACCCTGTGCCCTGGAAAATCTCAAGGAACACTAGGATACAAAAATAAATAAATAAATAAATATATATATAACAAAATATACTTGAGTTCCAAAAAATATGGGTCAAAAAGAAAAGAAACTCTCCCTGGCCCCAAACCAATACTAAACCCTAAATAAATAAAACAAAACCAAACAATGCAAGTCATAGACTTTTGTTGTTCAGATCTCTATCAAGTGGCTTAACACATGTAGCAACATAAGGAGTGGTTTGGGCCCTCTCTTGAATATTTTGTCTTCCATCGCCGCCCACCACCCAAACACTTTAGAAAATTATGACCCCATTTATTGTAAACACCCATTACCCATTTCATCTCATATATATATATATATATATATATATAATAAAAGACACTATTTTACTATTGAGTAATGCAGAGGGATATTCATGATACATAGGCAGGCACTCATTAAAGTAAGAGGGAGGGGAATGAAGAAGAGTCGCACTTCTTGTGGTGCATGTAAAATACTGAGGAGAAGGTGCAATGGCTCCTGCTTTCTCGCCCCTTACTTTCCCTCAAGCGACCCCAACAAGTTCTTTGTTGTTCATAAGGTGTTTGGTGCAAGCAATCTCATCAGACATCTCAAGGCAAGTTGCCCTCTATTCCGAGTTTGTTGCTTTGAATCGGAAATGTAGTTCTTGCCACGGCCGATCCAGCCTTGGCATGAGCCCAACTTGAGCTCCTATAGAGCTATTTTGGGTCGGCCTACCTGGTCTGGGCCGACCCCTTGCCTTGGAGCTCTAACTTGGCCTTTGGACCATATTTTGTGGCTCATGCTCTAGTTTTTCAGGGCCGAGCCAACGCACTGAGCACATTGCTAGTCCTAAGCAATTATTGTTTCTTTGGATATCACCTTCTCAGAAGGAGATTTCCGAGACAATTGCCTCTCTCCAATGTTTGTTGGAGTAGCTCCGTAAAATTTCGGAAAAGCGAGCCCTGCAAAGCGCTGCTATACGTCTAAGTGGCATTTTGTTGGACATCATTTCATACCTATAGAATATGAAGATGACATCCAATTTGCAGGAAATTTATCTTTATCAAATCACATTCCGGAAATAGATTTCATAATAAACGAACATGCTACCATACTTTTCAGTGCATGTTAACAAATTCACCATATAAACAACAATCCCTACACATTCAGACGAACTTAGCATTGTCTAACTCAACCTTTCTCACCCCAAAGACCAAGAACAGAGAAAGGGAAAATGAACTCAACAGTTGACATCTTTTGGATGGCAGGAGGTGGATGTGAAGGAAAGAGATGATGTAGTGAAAAGCATGGTTTACGAGGCAACCGCAAGGCTCACAGACCCAGTATATGGGTGCACTGGAGCCATTTTCTCTTTGTTAAAGCAAGCAAATGACTTGCGATCCCAACTAGCAAAGGCCATGGAAGAGATAGCAGAGATTCAAGAGCAATGCAGACATCTTATGGCAATCTTAACAGATGATACTAATTGGTACTCATTTCAGGTGTACAGTGACGACAACATTAGCTACCTCAACAATAATAACAATGTTTCAAAATGGTTAATGAAAGTGGAAACCTCCTAGTAGAGGAAGAAATTGGTGTTTAAATGGTCTGAGTAAGATCCCTACAAGAGGTAGTAATTGGCAGCGCATACAGGTAATTCTTTTGTTGGACAAAATAGGTAGCATTTATTGATCTTCATTGTAAACTTTACACTATATAGTGTAAAGTCATAAGACTCTTGCATGTTATCTTCATTTCTAATAAAAGAAGCCATGCATTTCACACTTGTCTAATCTCACATATGCTTTAGTGCTATAGGGTCATCATCATTATCATTATTTGAGCCTTATCTCAACCATTTGGGGTCGGCTACATGAATCTTGTTCCGCCATTTTATTCTATCAAGAGCCATATCCTTAGTCAAAACAAAGAATGCCCTAGCATGATCAAGGAGTTCCTAAGCCAAGATAAAGCAGTAAGGTTGTGTTAGGTATGAGAGCCAATGAAAACCTTTGTCTCATCTTTCATGAATCATAGACCTATGCTATAGAGACATGCATGTTATTTTTACTCTCATTGATGATTTTTTTGAAAAAATATCGTTAAAATTGTCAAACCACCTTAAAATCAAGAAGGTGGTTAAATGAATGATTTTCCTAGCCAGGTGGTAACTTTTAAAGATCATATTGTTGAGGTATCTCATCCACAATTTTGTTAAAAGAAAAAGCGAATTGCATTTCTTTTGGATTTGTAACCTTGAATAAGTGGGGCAACTTAGTAATTTGACCTACGTCACTTGAACCAGATGACAAATCCATTTGCTTGTTCCTAGTTTCAAACCTGGAAATTTTTGTTTTCATTAAGAAATCTTGTTTTGGGTGTGAGATTTGGTAGAAGCAAGGGCATGTTGGTAATTTAATCAAGTAACATGTGTCAAAAGATATAAATATCCATGCTCTTAGGTTCCAAACATTAAACAATATTTTTTAACAAAAAAAAAAAAATTCTAGGTTTGGAACAAGGAGAAGGAAAGGGATTTAAGTCATTTGGAAATACTCTTACTTGTTCAGGTTCCAAAACCAGGAGAAAGGTTTTTTTTGGGTATTTTAACAAAACGATTGGAAAGGTATCCAAGTAAATAACTATTAAATTACTTTATGGTAAGTTTGTTGGTCCTCATTTAATTTTTTGAGATGATTTGACCGTATTATTGATATTTTCTATTTTCTCTTTTCACTGGTGAATGTGGTGTTTATAATCCCAAACATTCAAGTTCTCGCAACCAAGTTTTCCTTTCTCTCTCCAAAAGCTTATGACAAAGATTGTAGCCCAAGTCATGAAGCCTCCATCAAGTATTTATAGATATAGATATGTTCGATCCACACTATTTTTTAAGTTTTAAATTTCGAAATAGGTTATCAAGTCATTATAATAATTCCCAGCATCTTCTAACAAGATTGGGTGGCCCATCTGTTTACGATGGGTGCCTTATATAAATCTTACCCTTTTATTTTATCCAACTCAGAGGCGGCGATTTAGAGGTACATGAAAATATGAAGGGTGTGGTTTCTATAAAGGTTGCAACCTTAAACAATCAAATTGAGACGGACCTCCAAATTTTATCATAATATGTGAGTTTATTATAAAAACTTATTAGGATTATCTAAAAATCTATTTTCATATCTAGTTATAAAATTTTGAACTCCAAAAACGATTAAAATCAAGTAGATTTATATATATATATATATGAAAATCTTGAAAATGGGCGGTCTAGATAATGTATTGCAAGATGCAGTATTTATGAGACTCAAAAATCTTTTTTTTTTTTTTTTCGTATTCATACATCTTGATGTTGAGGTAATCAATTAGAGAAATTTTCAATAGGAAAACAATATTTTCCGATAGATTTTTGAAGTGCATATGTAATTCTACATTTTAAAGTTACAACTTTATATAAACTTTTTCCAAACATAAAAGCTTAAAAAAAATCCAAATAAGCTACAACACACAAATGGGTCATCGTTCAGAATACATATGCAAACACAAATGGGTCATCGTTCAGAATACATATGCAAACCATGATTTAACTGGGGGATAATCTGGAGATACAGTTTTCTCATATAATGAAAGGCGGGTGTTTCTAAATCCTAACAACATATCCATAAAAAGATATGCATTACTTCCACTAAAACACATTAGGAATGCTCGAGTTTGTCTCAAAATATGAAAATCTAGAAACTAGTTTCTTGCCTAAGGTCTGATTTTTTTTTTTCCAGTCGAGAGTTACAAAAAAAACAAATCAGTGACATGGATTGTCTATCCGAAAAATTGGTCTGGATCGGTAATCTGACAGTCAAAATGGGGGATCCAGCCAAGTGAATTGGTCAATAAAAAAAAAAAGGTGAACAAAATAAACATTGAAAATAACGAAAAATAAAAGTTGGTGTTGGATCCGCCAATTCCTCGATAGAAACCGGCTGGTTCCTCATATATAGTGGGAAATTGTAATCTAAATCGACGTTGTTTAAAACCCAGCAGGGTGTAATTTTCATAGGAAGGTTGACTCCACGGCCCGGAATCTATCCATGGGTACACGGTACATACACATACTGGTGTCCATGTTCTTGTTTCCTACGTTCCAAAATATTTCAAAATATTGGTTTTGGATCTTTAAAAAGAAACACATTAATGGATTCATTGGTTGACCTGCCGTTTGGTCCAATGTAGAGGGACAACTTCAATGTGCAAACCAAGCTTACCTACACTTTTTTTTTTTAAAAAGGGAATCCTTTATAGCATTAATAGCGGTCAAAACATCTTAATTTCACTTAGGTACTTCCTCACCAAACATGTCGATTTCACTTGGATACTTCCTCACAAAATATCATGAAAAAACGCTTATGTTATCAAGATAGCATGAGAAAAAACAATTAGGGACATATTAGTAATTTGACATTCCTAAGAAGCTCCAACAAAATTATGGGTGTGCCCTCTCTTGTTTGAGGTTGGTCAAATTACTGAGCTAAATTACACTTAGGTATGACACAAGGTACGGTGACGTATAGCCTGACACAAGTTATGACACTTGATAGAGTGAAATGACGAAACAAGATTTGTATAGCTGACCCAAAGTAGTTGGGATAAGACTCAGGTGATGAATTACGTGAAATAAAGCTTGAGAAGTAAATCATGTAATAATAATTAAGTCTTTTGAGCCATTAATAACAATTCGATTCCTCCAAGGAAGTGCATGTAATAAAAATGAATTCTTGAGTTTCTTGTCATTTTGGTGAGAAATTTTCTTGGTGTATGATTTCCGAGAGGAGACGAAATTTTTTTTTCTTCTTGCATCATAGTAATTGGAAACTCGTGGATCAACTTCTCTCCCTGATTTATGAAAGACACAATGAAGATTGCAATAGTAATCCAATAGATTTTGAACTTTTTCACACAAATACATTTATAAGTACATGTAGATATATATGAAAATAGAATTTATGCCCTAACCATATGTAAAGTAAACGAGTTAACTAACACTAAACTACATAAGCCATCATAGAAAAAGGAGTAGGTAACCGGCTTAAGCCAAATATGATTAATTGGTCACTATCGAACGAGTACGTAATATCACTACTACTCGAAAAGAAAGTAGAGATTATCTTCAAACTACGAGATTCAATGGGTACGCAAAAATAATTTGAAATTATTTATGACAATTCGCTAGTATTAAGTGTCAGAAATTGAGAGTTGGTAGGAAATTGAGCCAATGGTAAATATTGTTTAAGCAGATGATTAATGAACTAAATCCCTTTCAAAACTGATTATGTAACAGGAAATTATCAAAGAAAATTGTTTCAAGTGGGCTAGACCACATGACTACATATGCGGTCCACAAAGTGTAAAGCATTCATCATAAAGATGGATGCAAGTAGGTGTTCAATCTAAAAACAATGAAAACAAACGGTCCAAATGTTTTCTTATTATAATTATTATTTTTAGTTTTTAAAATTTATTTAGTTATTATATTCATGATGTCTATGTTAGAGATTATATGTCATTATAAAATAAGTCTAAAATCCAACTCAAAAATAGATTTATTAATAAACCCACATTCTACATATGCGAGCTTGACCGCATAGAAACCGGGTCCAATTATCAAAATACACCTATAGTTTCTACTATTTAACATTTTACTCTTTTTTCAACTAATTATCACGTGTCTGTTTATGGAATTTTGAAATTAATAATTTAACAAATTCCCCTTAATTAATCTTGGAAATAGTGATTGGAGCTAACATTTGGAAAAGCTCAACATGAAAGACCGTGAATCACTAGGACTACGATATTGACAAAGTATACAAAGAAGCCTGTTGCATAGACAACATACATATTGTGTGGTCCACATGATCATAATGACATCACGAAGATCCGAATTATCACTGTCAAATCAAATGGGTTGGTTAGTGATGGATGGGCAATGGAACAAATAGCAGAATCATTAATATAACCATTCATCCAATTGATGAATGATGATAACCTCCGGATCATGTTGTTATCATGACTATTTATTATCATCATCTTAGCATTATTTCAAACTATTCGACGTCAGCTACATGAATCATGTTATGCTATTCCACTCTATCAAAGGCTATACCCTCAGTCAAACCATAAGCCACGGTATCTCTTCTCACTACTTCCGCCATATCTTTTTGGGCCTTCTCTTTTAATTTTTTAGAGCCTTCCACAATACTAACATGACCATATAGGCTATATTGACCATATAGTCTACATTTTGCAGGCCCATAAAATTGTGATTCTTTATGCATTTCCCCTCTTTTCCTTGGATATATTTTATTATTATCGTCCTATGTGCCTCTACCCCAAATCTTATTGGACTAAACCAATTATTTTAGCCATTCGTCTTTTTTTTCTTTTTTTTGAAAATGGTTTTATATTCCCATGCATCTTATTTGATATACAAACTCCTCTGCTTTCTCTTCACTACCAAAAGCTTCCAAAATTGTAGTGGGTGCATCTACCAAGTTCCCCTTTTTTAATCATATATTGTTTATATTTCAATTAGTGGTGGAAGTTAACTATCAAACAAATATGTACAAGGCAATATTTAAGAGGCAAG